ACACTCCTAGGGTGAAAGGATAGAAAAAGATTTTCCAAACAGATGGACCCCAAAAGCATGCAAGAGTATCTATACTTATATCTGATAAAAACAGCCTTCAAATCAAAATTAGAAGAAACAAAGAGGGCCACTTTAATAAGGAAAGGAAAAATAAAGGGACACAAATAGGAAAGGAAGAAGTCAAATTGTCCCTATTTGGGAATGATATGAACCTATACTTAAAAAAACTCTAAAGATTTCACCAAAAAACTCCTAGATGTGATAAACTCTTTCAGCAAAGCAGAAGGATACAAAGTCAATATACAAAAACAGTAGCTTTTTTGCATACCACAATGAATAGATTAAGAAAGAAATCAGGAACATAATCTCACAAAAGCGTCAAAAAATGCCTAGGAAAAGACTGCTACAATAAAGACTATAAAATCTTGAAGAAAGAAATTTTTTAAAAAATTTAAATTAAAAGAACGACCTCCTATGTTCATGGATTGGCAAAATGAATATTGTGAAAATGGCCATACCACTGAAAGAAACCTACATATTCCATGCAATTCCCATCAAAATTCCAATGTCATTCATCAAAGAAATAGAAAAATCAACCCTGAAATTCATCTGAAAACATGCGAACAGCAAATCTGAGCAAAAAAGAGCAGGAATCACAATACTAGATTTTCAAATTATACTGCAGAGCCATAGTAAGAAAAAAACACTATAGTACTGGCACGAAAACAGACACAAAAGGAATAGAAGATCCAGAAATAAACTCATACAGCTACAGCCATCTTATTTTTGACAAATGTGCAAAAATATGTTGGAGAAGCCTCTTCAACATATGGTGCTGAGAAAACTCAGTATCTATGTAAGACTGAACTAGACCACTGTCTCTCGCCCTGTACAAAAATCAATTCAAAATGGATCAAATATCTTAATTGTAACACTGGAAACTTTGAAACTTCTACAAGAAAACATAGGAAAAATACTTGAAGATAAAGGCATGAGCAATTATTTCATGAACATGACTTTAATCAATCCAGGAAATAGGAGCAAGAATTGACAAATGGGATTGTATCAAATTTAAAAGCTTCTGCACATCAAAGGAATTACCAGAACGAAGAGACAACCCACAGAGTGGAAGAAAATCTTTGCAAGCTATTCATCAGATAAAGGGTTAAAATCCAGAATATATAATGAACACAAAAATTCAACACCAAATGAACAAATAAACCAATTACTAAATAGCCAAATGAATTGAACAGATAGTTCTCAGAAGTACAAATGGCTAATAAATACATTAAAAATGTTTGACTTCCTTAGCCATAAAGGAAATGCAAATCAAAACAACATTGAAATTCTGTCTCACCCTGTCAAAATGTGTATCATCAAAAAAAAAAAAAAAGAATGATGGAAAGGATGCAGGGGTAAAAGAGATCCTTATACATTGTTGTCGGAAATGTTAATTAGTGCAACCACTATGGAAATCAGTATGGAGGTTCATCAAAAACCTAAAAATAGACTATCTTATGACTCTCCTATAACACTCTTGAACATATATCCAAAGGAGAGTAAGTCAATGCACAAGAGAGGCACTTGCACACGCATGTTTAATGGCAGCACTATTCACAATAGCCAAGCTCTGGAATCAGCCTACGTGCCCAACAACCAATGAGTGGATAAAGAAAATGTGGTATCTACACAATGGAGTATTATTCAGCCATAGAGAAGAAGGAAATATTATCATTTGCAGGAAAATGGATGGAACTGGAGATCATAATGTTGAGTGAGATAAATCAGATTCAAAAAGTCAAATATTGCATGTTTTCACTCATATGTGGAATCCAAACATAAAATAATAATAATAACAATAACAACAATAATAATAATGGGACACGTGTGTAAAAGGGGGGCTGTTTGGGGGAATCAGCAGGAGAGGGAGAAAGGAAGAGAGAGAGTACTGAAGGGTGACCATGACCGGAGTATGTTATGTTTCTACATATGAAGATAGCATGAGGAAACCCACTAAATATACTGTTTGAAAAAGTGAGGAGGAGAGAAGGAGTTAAAGGAGTGTAACAGAGGGGGCAAATTTGATCAAAGTACATTGTATGCATCTGTGGAAGTGTCACAATTAAACCATTTTGTACAATTAATGTATGCTAATAAAAAAAAAAGAAAATATGATTGCCATGACCTTGATGTTTCTTGCTTCAGCACCTGCTTTCTCTCCCTGGCCTCTGAAGATGTCCTTCTTGCCATGTGATGTCCCCCTCCCCACACCCACATTTTTGGCGAAAGTCTTGCCATCTCGAAGCCCCTCGTTTTCAGTTCTCTCTTTGTCCAGCTTAGATTCTACTGGTCACCACTATGATCACTTGCTTGGAAACCCTTCAATTCTAGCTCTCTCTCCCTCCTTTGTTGTTGTCTGATGAACTTGAGGAACCTTCTTCACACCTAGTTTAGGCAGCTAAAATCTGCTGGAGGGAACTACACAACTGGGTAGACCAGTTGTCCCTAAGAAATTTGCCCACTAATCTTAACATAGATTTCCAATATATTGTGCCTTGCCCCTGCAGTTTCTCAAGTCACCCTGCTCTCCCACCTCCATGACATCTACTCCAAACCTTCTCTCGTCTCCTCAGACCCTTTTCCTCTCCCCCACTGTCTACAGCTGATGACCTAATCTCACACTTTTTTTTTTTAGATGACAGAGACCAGGTAATGGGAGCTCCACAACCAACCTTCTTCCTTCCTGCTACAAGAGACACACCTCCCCTGGTGTTAATGCCTTGCTCTCATCTGCTACCAGACTCCAACCCTTCCAATACATGAGTCTCTTCAGCTTCTCTATTTCTATTTCTAAATCATTCTCAGATCCATCCAATTATTACTGTGACTAATAGTACAGCTCTAGTCCAAGTTTTTTGCCTGTGGCTTTCCACGCTTCTGCTCTTTTCCAGTCTGTTGTCTACCCCACCAGAGAGACATTTCCATCCATCACAGACATGCAGAGCACACAAAGAGGTCACACATTTTCTCTTATGCTTGCCTAGAAATGATACCATCAGTAACATGTGGTCACACATTCACTCCTAAAATCAAGGAGGTGGAGAAACACAGTCCTCCATGTATCTCCGTACCCCTCCACACACAACTCCACCCTGTAAAACCTTCCACAACATCCTCTACCTGAGGACCTCCCCCTCACCAGCTCTTCGCCTCTCTCCCACTCATGGTTGTTCCCCTACTCACCCATTACCCAGAGCACACCTGAAGGTTCACCTGCAGAGGAAGCTTCTGTTTTGGAAGATTTCACCATCCTCTCTCAGTTCCTGTCCTTTTCCCAAGTAGCATTTGTCACAAGTAGTGACAGTTTATCTGGTTTCTTGCTGACCGCTTACCCCTCCCTGACTGTTAATCTCATGGGTCACGAATTATGTGGCTGTGTTTACAACTAAATCCTTAGCACCCGCCATGGCTCCTGCCACACAGAATGTGCACATGGTGTGTTGAATGACCGAATTAAAGCTTGAACTGGGTCACGTGACACACACCTCCCTCCCCCCAAGAGCCCATAAGACCCAGCCCTAATCATGGCACTTGCTTCATCCTTGAATCACAATGGAAAATTCACCTTATTGTCAGGCTCACGTCCTGCTCCTCATCCAACACTCAGCTGAAGAGGCCTGAATGTAACCTCAGAGTGGCCTATTTTGGCTTCTAGGGCACCTCAACCAGAATGGACTCAGTGTTACCCAGAGCTCTTAGACATGGTAGCAGGAATAAAGACTGAGCAAGCAGAATCAGACTTCCTGTACTCTAAGGGTGGTTCCTATTATTTTAGGAATAATTTATGTAGTCATATCCTTATTCCTATGACAGCATTGATACTGCAGAGAACAAAATTTTTAGTTCAGGATATAAACGTGTGAGGATGTAATGAAGTGTTAGCAGGCCATGAGAAAGGAATAGAGTACTGACATATGCTACAACATCCATGAGCTCTGAGAACATATCGTACTGCCACACTTACAGGAAATGCCCAGAAGAAGCAAGTCTACAGAAACAGAAAGCCTGGAGTGGGGGATGGGGTAGGATGGGTGGACTGGGTGGGGAGTGCTAAAGGATTTCTTTGACAGTGTGATGACAATGTACTTAAGCTGATTGTGGTGATGGCTGCACAATTCCATGAATACACTAAAAGCTATAGCTTTGTATATTTTAGTGGGAAAATTGTACGGCCTGTGAATTATATCTCAGTAACAACAACCAAAGGCTAGAGATATCTGGCATGGAAAAGGGATCGAGTTGTACAGCTCTTGCTTTACCTTTGTTTTTGTGCTCATTAAAAAGACAAAAAGCCCTACTCAACACATTAGAATTACAAACTGGAAATCTATAGTATTCTCCAAAAATAATTAATTGCTGATTGTTTTCTAGGTAGCTTTATGAAATTGAAATCTAAACAAAACAGGCATTTTGTTTTATTATTTAGAGACACTACAAAAACAAGATATTGCTGCCATGTAACATTTTTAATTGTCTTCATGTAAGCATTTGATCTGTTGTCTCATTGCTGTGGGTATGTAGATAAAATAACTGTTGGCAGCACAGCAAGTGAGTCATTTAGGGCCCAAAAATGGTACTGGAAGGTTAAATGGGAGCCAAACAATACTTCTGTGAACTTGCATGACACACCAATAAATTCAAGAGCTTCCTAAAAATCCTGTTCTCAGTGACCTCAACTTTATCCCTGTACGCTTGTTCTGTTCTTACCCTCCCTGTCCACTGCCAATCTGATTGCTAGACGGGCTCTTAAAACAAATTTCGACCAAAGAAAATTCTATTCCTTATCTGATGTGAATGTCATAAACAAGAATAAAGGCTAGAAAAAGGGGATGGAATGCCTGAATGACTCAGCAGTTCAGAAGGATTGCTGCTTGGCTCGGTCCACACACACTCCCAAAGAGTAGGGGTCTGCACAGAGCTGGTTGGGGGTTTATTCTTACCACAAGCGTAGGTAACAGTGAGGTATTTTTTCACTCCTGGCAGACAGGGGCTTCCAAAATGGTAATTGTTGACAATGACCGTGCATCTCTGCTTCCCGTAGCACCTTCTGGACAGGACTTGTAAAGCTGAGTAGGACACACAGTCTGGAAGGGAAACAGAAAGAACAATGTTAGCTACATTCTACCATTGGCCTCCACACAGCTTAGAGAGATGTAGCACCAGCTTCATGGTCATGTCCTAAAAAGCCTCGAGCTTGGCTTAAGGCTCTGTTAGCACCATATTGAATTCTGATATAATTTTGGTATTTGTTTTTGGATATTTATAATTTGGATATTTGTTTTGCACTGTGTTCTGAAAATTACATAACTGGGTCTGCATATGGAACAGGTAAAATGTGCAGCACATTGAGCGAGACGGTTTTATGAGCCTTGCCATTTTTCGAAACATTTAAGACTCTACCTTACATGAACACAGCGAGACAGTACGTCCTCTTGGTCATCATCTAATTTCCACTGTCTGGAAACGTAACTGATGCACGAGTGAGTGAATGAATGAATGAAGTGAACTAATAACCATGAGGACCCGGTTGTTAGCACCCTGACACAATGCCCTTGGAATTATCAATTGGAACACCTACTGCCATGCTTTGAATGTAGTCCCCCAAAGTTCTCATACTGGAAACATAACCCTCAAGTCATATGCTAATGATATTGGAAGGTGGAGTTTTGGGGAGACAATTGACATTAGATGAGGTCATAAGGGTGGGACGCCCCCCCCCATGATGGCATTAATAGCTTTAAAGAAAAGAAGAGTGACAAGCTAGCCCCTTGCTCTGTCTTACTATGTGATGCCTCTGCCATGTTAGATGCTTTATAAAGGCTCTTCCTGCCAGATGCTGGCATAATGCTTTTGTATTTCTCAACCTCTAAAACCATGACCCAAATAAACCTCTATTCTTTATGAATCACCCAGTCTCAGCTATTTTGTTATAGCAACAGAAAGTGGACTAAGACACTTGTGGAGAATGAGGTACCATGGTATGTATATCAGAAAAAACAGAAAGAAGACCTTATCTTGTATTGGTAGCCTATGCAGTTGCAAGGGTTGATCTTGACTGCAACTTGACTGGATTGAGAAGGGCCTAGAAGCTTAGTAAAACATACCTCTGGGTGTGTCTGAGCAGGTGTTTCCAGAGAGGATTAACTAAGGGGCAAAGACCAGCTGTGGATATGGGCAGCAGCTTCCATAAGCTGGGGGTCTGGATAGAATAAAAGGGAAAAATGGGGCTGGAGGTGTGGCTCAAGTGGTAGAGCACCTGCCTAGCAAGCGTGAGGCCCTGGGTTCAAATCTCAGTACCCCTATACACACGCACACACACACACACATGGAGAGAGCCTATGAGTGCAGGCATTCTCTCTCCGCTTCCTAGCGGCCATAGTGTGAGCTGCTCTGCTCCACCAGGCCCTCCCCTCCATGACACACTACAACCTTAGCAACCATGAGTCAAAATAAATTCTTCCTTTATTTAAGTTGTTTATGTCAGGTATTCTGTCATAGTCACACACACACACACACACACACACTAATTAACCCAGCAGTGGAGCTAGAGAGACAAACCAATATATGAGACAGGTATGTCATAGTGCTCCACAGTGACTGAGGGTCAGCAAGGAGTGGTCCTGACAACAGGAGTGGTTTTACGCCTGGAATTGTCAAGACTGGCTTTACGGAGGAGAGCCCTGGGTCATGGAAGAAAGAATATGAATTGGAAAGAGGTAGGCAAGAGAGAAATGTATGAACACAAGGCAAGGGGCTCAGGAGAACCTGAGGGGACTGACCATGACCTGAAAAGGGGGCAGCTAGAGTAGCCACAGTGAGCAAGGTGGGAAAACTGGAGCAATACTGAGACTTCCTTTGAGTGCCTAGCTACAGCCTTCTGCAAGCAACAGAGAGCCTAAAGAAATGGTTTCACACTATTGACTTTTGGGGACAGCGGACAGGATACCTTGGAGAAAAATGGAACCCAAGGCAGAGAGAGCAGTTGGAAGCAATTTTAATAAAACACATTGGGGAGAATTAAAGAGTTGAAGAGCAGGGAATGGAGAAAGAGAACTTTTGAGACTGTAAAATTCAATTTACATGTGACAACAGCCAACATTGTGCTAGGCACTGCTCCTTACATTGCATATCAATGGATTTAATGTTCCCAATTGCCCTATTACATAGGGTGTTTGTAACACACCTGCACATATGCATTTGGGGGAAGAAGGGGCAGACCCAGGGAGATTTTGGAACCTCACACAACTGGAGAATTCTGGGATTTGGATGTGAACATAACAGGGGTCTCCAGAGTTTGCAGGTTTGAGCTCTGAGCTCTGCTCCCTAGGTGTCTGGTGGATGGTGGGCAAGGGAGGTGTCCAGGATGGTTTCAGATCTTAGGCCGTGGGACTGAAGAAAGAGTGGTACTATAGACCATGATGGGGGAATCAGTAGGAGTAGGGAGTTGGTAGAACAAGACGATATATTCAAGGAAACTACTGTCCTGCATTTGAGTTGGGGGGTGTTCAAGAGAGTGTGGAAATGTGCGGAGCCCAAGGGCACGGGCACAGAGATAAGGACCCCAGGCACAGAAGTCTCCTGTGTATCTGTTCGTGTCTTAAAGATGAGAAACTTCTCACCCTCCAGCAACAAAAACTCTGACTCCTGTATCCCAGGACCCATCCCCTGCATGATCTGTTTCCTGAACAACTGGGCTTCTAGAAAGGTTCTCTCCATCCTCCCCCCACCAACACACACACACACACACACACACACACACACACACACACACGCAACACAATTCTCAATGTGCTCTTCCCCACATATACCCTGAAACTGATCCCTTTTCAAGATGACAGGGACCTGTCACAGCCCAATCCAAGAGATGGGAACCTGTCCTAATTCTTCCCTTTCTCTGGAACTTCTTGTTTAATCACTCTCACTGAAGGATTCCCCTGGTGCCCTTCACCCTGATTTTTCTGACTCGTATATCCCAGAGTCCTTTGGGATGCTCACCCAAAGTCAGCTCCTGAGTGCCCTGATCTGGGCATCTCCCATCTATACCTCCATATAGGACACAATTCCATCCCCATCTCTGCCAAACCACTGGGATGCTACTTTTAACCTGGGCCAATTTTCAGAACCCTACCCCATGTAACAATTGCTTGAGCAACCTTTCCAGAAACTTCTCCCTCCAGCATCTAGACCAAATTCATCCATTATCTTATCTTATCCCCCCGCAAACATCCAAGTAACACAACCCACCCTTGCCTGCTCTCCTACACTCCCTTCCTAGATTCCTGTTCTCCATCTCCGTGGCTGGTTCTGACATTGTCATAGGAACCAGAAGAAGAGGCCCCAGATCCCCCCTCCTTCCTCCCTCCCATGTGACCAGCTGGCTCTAGGACATGAAGAGCCAGAACAGGGGGGTGAGAGAGAAGTGAAAAATGGAAATTGGGAGAGATAAGTGATTAATTGAAGGTAAGTTTCAGGTGTGAAAGTACAGTCTCAACCAAGTGCCAGCAGCTCACATCTATAATCCTAGCTACTCAGGAGGCAGAGATCAGGAGGATCAAAGTTCAAAGTCAGCCCAGGAAAATAGTTTGTGTGAGACCTTATCTCACAAAAAGCCATTGCAAAGAAGGGCTGGTCAAGTGGCTCAAGATGTAGGCCCTGAGTTCAAACCCCAGAACTGCAAAACAAAACAAAACAAAAAGAACAGTCTCAGCCTCAGAAAGCTCTGGCTGAGCTGGAGGACAACCCAAGGTGGACATTCAGGGCAGTAGAAAGACAACAGCTGGGGAAGAAGTGTGCATCTGATGTGTTTGGTGCTTTAGAATGGGCCATGGAGAATGTAGAGTGGGTTTTGGAATGTTCTGAAGGGAGAAGGCAGTGCCCATAAGGCTTGTGGAGTGAACAAATTGTGGTTTAGCACTGAGATGAGTGAGACAGTAACAGTCTGGATGGGGAGGGGACATGAGTTCCTCCAGCAGGGAGGAGAGAAGCACATGTATAGGTGGTGGTGAGTCAGGCCGATGTTCTGCAGTCTTACAGAAGCCATTGGTGCCTGCATGGAAGACAGGTCAGGGTTGTGCTATGGTGTGAATGATATTCTCCAAAGTTCATCTGTGAGACACTTGGTCCTCAAAGTCATATGTGGTGGTACTTGGAAGTGGGACATTAGGAAGTGATTAGGAGTAGCTGAAGTCAGTAGGATGGGGTCCCCATGATGAGGACCTTTATAGGAAAAGGAAGACAGACTGAGCTAGGATACCCACTCTGTCTCTGTCTCACCACGTGATGCTCACACACGCTATAATGCACCTTGGGCTTCCCAGGTTCCAGACCTGTGAGCCACAGAGTCTGCTATAGAAGTTTTTACCCGATTCCATGTCGTGGCCATGAGGTGAGCAGCTTTTACTCTACCACCTGCTCCCCACCATGGCATGTTGCCTCATGACAGGCCCAAAAGCAATGGGACAACTCATCAGGGACTAAAACCTATGAAAATTGAGTCAAAATAAAGACGAAACTCTTTATAAGTTGATAGTCTCCAACATTTTGTTACAGTAACAAAAAGCTGACTAACACAGACGGGAAAGCAATGTTTGTGTAAAAGGCCTACAGGGCTTTGACAACTTCTACTGTAAATGATATGCCTTCCTTGGTCCCATAAAGTCAGACAAGCATGAGCAGTTTTTGAGTAGTGAGAGGCTTTGGAGACAAATTTTTTCAGAAATGCAAAATTTTTTCATAAATATTGTATTCAGCCATTCTCGGCAGCTGTGAAAAGTTTGTCTTAAAGATGCACCTTTCAGTGTTCTCCTTGTTTGTTTTCTTATTGCTCTGGGATGCACACGCTTGACTGAGGACATTTTTATTGTCTTCAGGAGCCTCATTTTTATTTAAGGTGTTTAGTTGAGCACACTTACCAGTTGGAGGGAAAAAAGGGTTCTGTTTCTTCTAAACTACAATCCTTAGGTGTAAGTTGGCCTAAACCCAGCCCTTTCTCCTCTAAATTCCTCTCCCTACATAGGATAAACCTCAACTCTGCAGAGAAAATGGATGGGACATGTGACTGCTGCACAAACCGCCTACTTGCCGA